GTGTACACGTATTCAGGGTATCGTTCCGAGTGTTGTACCTACCCTGGCCCTCCATTAAACTTATCTTTATTGCCATTAGCAGCCCATAAGTAAACAGTGCACGGTCGGTGTCTCGGTACCTCTAGGATCATAGACGTAGGCTTTCCATTCTGGTACGGGTGAGACCCCGCCCTATGAACCCAATAGAAAAAAATGCTTGAGAATTTATATTACTTACAAACATTCCGAGTGATAATTAACATAATATATTGTAAAACGAAGAATATAATACTATAAATAAAAATAAAATGGGATATATAGTAAATATATTTTGTTTAAATAATAATTTAATAAATACAATTTTTTTAATAAATAAGATTGTGTAAAAATATCTACACACAAACATTACAAGTGATAATTAACATAACATAATACCTTGTAACATAATTAACATAAAGTGTAAAAGGTAGAATATAATACTATATATAAAAATAAAATGATATATATATATATATATATATATAATATATATATATATATATATATATATATATATATATATATATATATAATAAATATATATTTAAAATAAATATTTTTTTAAAAATAGATAAGAGCATTCATTAATAAAGTTGTGTGGAAATATTTCCATTCACCTCTGTAAATTTAAGCGTATTCATTTTAATAAACGTGAATACTACCGTATTCACTTTTACTAATGTTAATACAAAGAATCGAGAATTTATATTACGTACAAACATTACGAGTGATAATTAACATAATATAATACATTGTAACATAATTAACAAAACATGTTGTAAAAGAAAGAATATAATACTATATATAAAAATAAAATGATATATATAGTAAATAACCAGTGTCCTGCGTTGGTTCAAATCCTTCCTTTCCAATCGATCCCAGTATGTAGTAGTCCCTGATCAACCTCCTTTACACTTCCCTTCTCCTGTGGTGTCCTTATCTCTCTCTCCTACTCTGTTTGCTATCTACATCAATGACCTTCCCCTCCTGATCCGTAACTCCCAATACCACATCTATGCAGATGATTTCCAAATATACCTGTCCTTTCCGCCCTCCGACCTATTATCTGCCACAGAAAAACTTCAAGAAGACTTAGATGGAATTTGTGACTGGGCAAGAACAAACAAGTTGAAGTTGAATGCGGATAAAACAAAGGCAATCTTAATAGGCTCCAATCACCTCTTTAAAACTGTCCCTAATATTCCAACTCTGTTCCAACACAATAATCCCATCAAATATCTTGGAATGACCATTGATCAAACGCTTTCTTGGAAAAATCATATATCCAATATTTCCCGCCGTACCATTTCCATCCTAAAACGTCTTAATTACTCCCGTCACCTATTTCCTTTTGAAACCCGTAGGCTCCTAGTCACTTCCTTAATTTTTCCCCACTTTGATTATTGGTGTACGGTATATGGGGGCCTCTCTGGGGATCTCGAGGAGAAACTAAAACGTTTGATAAATTGCTTTGTACGATTGATCTTTGGAATCCCAAGGGACGCCTCTGTTTCCCATTGTTATGCGGAGTTAAAATGGCTTTATCCTTCCTTCCATCGTAAGTATTTCCTGGCATCCTTAGTCTTTCAAGTCATCCAATCCCACCGCCCCTCATACATCTCCGAGCTCCTTCAATTCAAATCCTCTGTTCGTTCCCGCTCTTCTGATTTATACATGAGGGCCCACTGAACAGCTGCTTTCGACAAATCGTTCATTATCCGATCCTCATCTCTATGGAACTCCACCCTTTCCCATATCCGTCAATCTAATACCCTTCCTACCTTTAATCCCTCCTGTTCAATCATTTCTTATCCATTCAGTCCCCATAAAATCGTAAAAAGATACTACTGAAAATATGTACATAAATTATTAGTTCGTTCTTCATTATTTGTTCTCCAATCTTTGTTTATCTATTTTTTCTATTATCAACTGATCAAAATTGGAAAGCAACTTATATGTAAATGTGTGTTTATATATATATATATATATATATATATATATATATATATATATATATATATATATATATATTTTTTTTTTTTCACCAAGACTGTTCAATTACTCTGTATACTTATTTATGTATCTCTGAGGCTCCTTAGCCCTCATTTCTGTCTTCCTGTATTATTCTAAAGGGACTCGTCCCAGAATAAATAAAGTATTATTATTATATTTTTTTTTAATAAAAAATTTAATAAATACATTTTTTTTTTAATAAATAAGCGTATTCATTAATAAGGTTGTGTGAAAATATTTCCATTCACTTCTGTAAATTTAAGCGTATTCATTTTAGTAAACGTGAATACTGCCGTATTCACTTTTACATGTGTAAATACAGCCGCATTCACTTTTACAATCGTAAATACGGCCGTATTTATATTTCCAGCCGTGAATACGTATCTTCTGTATTCATATTACTTTTTATGAATATGAATATATTCATATTTATATTCATTTGTATCATAAATATAAATGATATTAGTATTTATATTTTTGTATATAAATATGCCCATCTCTACCCTAAAGTTGTAATTTTTTGAATGAAGTCTGCCAATGGAAAGCAGCGGCACAGCAACAGAGACTGCTCAAAAATGGCGCTTCATTTTAGAAAGATTCATCTAGCCTGCGATGAGGTCCGTTTTCGGCAAATTTGGACCTCTTTGCATGGCCGCCATTTTAGAAAGCAGCGGCTTTGGAATAGCAGACAAAGCTCATAATTAAAATGTTATAAGCTTTCTTAATTTACATTCAAACCTTCGCCTGCGATGAGGTCCGTTTTTTGGCTCTAGCTTCAGGTCTATTACAGTCATGTAATCTAGAGGTTGTAAATGCAGTATGTGGGAAGAGGAAGGTATCTGGAAAGAGGAAGCGGACTGACTGGTAGACCGAAGACCTTCAACAAATAGTTGCTCGGAAATAGCTTGCCTGGAAAACATACCTTCAAGACAAAAACGAGGAAAAGCTACAAAACTACCGAACAGCCAGGAATGAATGCAAGGTAACCGTTAGCCAGGCCATGAAACGCTCTTGGAAGGATTTCGGTAAAATATTGAGTGAAGACCATCGTGAATCCATAAGAATTTTTTGGCGAAAAATTAAATTTTTATGAGGAAAGAAAAACAAGCCCGTCAGAAATGTAAAAGATAGTGATGCTTACCGACAAGGAAAAGATCCTGAACAGAAGGAAACAACATTTTCAGGAACAAATCTTCGAAAATCCAGAAATACGTCACTGCCAAGAACGAGAGTCCTCTACTCTAGAAAGACCAGAGGTAATAGAAGAAGAAGGGATAGAAGATTTTTTTTTTCTTTTTTTTTTTCCTGTTCTTCCCAACCTCGCCTTTTAGGCTATACGGGATTTTCCCGGACCAGAGGGTGAGGGCGGGGAATTTAAAATCCCCTCTGGCACCGGGACCCAAACTCGTGACTATTTTCATATCATAGAATCATATATCTGGTTGCTGGGCAACGGTGGTGCAGTGCACACGCGTTAGCCCATTCGGCCACCCCGCTCGTGCATAGAAGATGCATTCCACACTCTAAAAGCAGGAAAGGCACCGGGAAAGGATGGTATCGCCCCAGAATATTTGAGATATAGTGTACATGAACTCCTAAGAACCCTTAAAAAGCTCTTCCAGAAAGTATATGACAGAAAAGGGCCGCTTATTATGAAAATTCTGTTGCATTTTAGATTGCGCATCACATCTTTGTAACTTTTAGAATTTCATCGATATTAAGGTCCAATATTATGTAGTCGGAGTCGCTTTTATGACAATATAGTCAGATTTATAATTACGGAATTGAGCATCGCGTTTTTTATCTATGTTTTCAGGGGCGCTTTTTTGGCAGATTCAAATATTTGAACTACTAGGTATCTAGTTTCATATGATCTCATAATATTTTGAATTTATTGTGCGGCTGGGTATATTATAATACATACTTCCAGTAAAATAATAATATATTTTATATTACTAGGGTTCTTATTAGATTTGATTATTAAGTTACATTTTTTTGGCCACAAAAAAAAAAATATATATTCAAACTACTTTTGTGATTATATTGATATTTCCATATCTAAAATGTTAAGGGGGCTAATATCGAAAATATCGTCAGAATAAATGAAAACATTCCATTTAAAACTGTGGAGTCCAGAGCCAAAGCACTCTTTCTTTTTGATATTTTTTTTTCTATAGAATTAAACACTGAGGCTTAATTTATAAGACGACTGAAATGAGGATCTCCGTACAGATAATTAAGACTATTAAGCATTGGAATATAAACATATACTACAGATATAATTAAAATTATTTATCTAAGGAATATAAAATAAAAATAGGTTGCAATTCAGTGGAGTTTTTTAATGTAATGTGCCTTACACAACATTAGATCTAAAAAGTTAAAAAAAGTGATGGGAAATTGTGCATTCTTAAATCCGACAGTATTTTCATGAAAAGCGCCCCAGTAAACATAATAATGGACCCTAATATCAATTAAATCCTTAAAGGTACTATAATATGATAAGCAATTTCGAATCCAGAAGTATTTTCATAATAAGAATCCCCGAAAATATAATAGTCGACTCTTAATATCAATTAAATCCGAAAAGATTAAGCACAGTTACTCAACCTCAAATCCGACAATATTTTCACAAAAAGCAGCCCCGAAAACATAACAGTCGACCCTAATATCAATTAAATCCGAATAGTTACAAAAAGTTGATGCACAATTGCGAAATCTCGAATCCGACAGTATCTTCATAAAAAGCGCTCCAGAAAACATAATACCTAGTCCTGTCATAAATATTGTTACAAGGAAATATATACAGATTTCAATAGAAAAATTATTTTTTTCAAAAACTTTATTAGAAAATAAAATTTATATCTACAGAGAGTAAAACAAAAAAGAAATTGTCCCCCTTTTGCCGCAGCATTTCTTGAGGAAAGCGCTCAACTGCTCAGACCATAGATTATTTGAAGCTTTCGAAGTTAGGGTGTGGTCTGTGGCATGGCATCCTCACCGATTCGGACGAAAACCGATAATCCAGTGACTTGAGATTCCTGCCTGGTGAGCCTCAGGGATTCCTGAGGGCCAATCCGAGGAAGAGATGAACTCTGGAATGTTCTTTTGCAGCCACTATTGAGTTGACCTGGCCTTGTGAGCCGGAGCGGAATCCTGCTGGAAAACCCAATGACTTCCAGCAGAGTATCATTCAGAGGCTTGATAAAAGGTTCCAAAATATCGTCCTGATAGTTTTTAGCGGCTGTTTTAACTCCTTTTTCACAAAAATGGAGCTTTGTGGCGCCATCAAAGTAAACTCCCTACCAAACCATCACTGAGAAAGGGTGATGACCTCTTCCACTCTTCCAATGACTTCCTGGACTTCTTTAGAGCCGTTTGTGTACACACTTAGCATCTATCCACTCTAACTTTTTTTAGGGAAATGGTTAGTATTTGTCCTGTCATTCAGGTCACTTTTTATTATGCGAGATATTGATCTGACAAGAGATTCACATTTCCCGAGACATGATTTGTTGTTTTTGATTGTTCGATTTCTTCTGATTCGCGCAGCCACTGTTCTCATTGCGTTTGCCGTTCTCATAGTGTGGGGACGGCCCGGTCGAGGTCTGTCACATACAGATAGGGTCTCATTATATCTATTTATAGTGCGGTAAACGAACATACGGCTGATACCTAACTATCTTTATTTTTTTATATTCAAATTTTTTTATTTATTTAATTTTCTCTCTCTGTTTTACCAACTAATCACGTCATTTTACATCAAATTTTCCTTTTACACCAATTTTCATTTGAATGGCATCATACATCATGTACTACACCCAATTGTATGTTCATACTGCACAAGTCACAGCTGAGCCATTTTTGCAATTTTAATTTAAATTTGCCTCTATCAAATTTAAGGTGGGCGGTATACTAAGGCCACATTCATTTATTGTGTTGGATTTAACATTTTAATTAAAATGATGTAGAACAGTAGCGCCATCTGCTCGCCACTGTAAAGGTGCCATCTATTGGCGGAAGGTTGAAACAATAAATTCCTGTAGATTCTGGTGAATCTTATTTGGGCATTCACTAGCGGATCCAGGATTTAATTTTGGGGGGGGGGCTTCAGCCCGAAAGCTTTTTTTTTCATAAAAATAACGATAATTGCTTAAGAAAAAAAGAAAGAAACTAACAACCTGTATGAAATGGTGTTTAAGTGATTCCTAAAGCCCTTTTAATATTAATCATACGAACAATAATACTTTAAGAGATACTTTTTAAATATTTTTTTTGATAAAACATGGTTATATTTTACCATTTTGGGGGGGCTTCAGCCCGAAAGCCCCCCCCCCCCGTAGATCCGCCCGTGTGGGCATTCAAAGTGCAAGTCCTGATCTGCATTTTTTTTTATATGTCTCTTTTATACCCATAATGAGCAGATAGACACCCTACAAGAGAAGTGGTAGGGAGAGCCCGGAAATATGTCAGCAGACGGTGAAGGAGAGGGATGAGGGAGAAGCAGCAAGAAAGATATACAGGATATAGCAGTCAGCAAGATTCACCAACCAGAAAATCTCGAGTACATCCAATCATTAAAAACCAACCCATTAACAATAAATGTTTATAATTAGGGACCCCATTCAAGTCTATAACATCTAACATTTTATTTTATATTTCATATTTTCTTCTTTACCTTAATTTTAACATTATTTGAACTCCCCTACTGATCTATTTTAGCTTTAGGTTTGTTTCTTCCCTGCTACGGGATAAAGGAAGGCCTACTGCATTCAACAAAGTATATATATTTATCACATTTGAATATATAAAATGAAGGCTAGATTCAAGATCACTTTGAGAGTACATTGTAGATTGAATTCTTCCGAGGAATGCCAATACTAAGTATTGACAATCATGTTCATATTTAATAATGAAAAACCTTTTCTATATTTTTGTCTAAATATCACTGAAAGCGATTTACAGAGGCAATCTAAAAAAGAGTTTTTTCATGATGGAATATGCACTCACATGCAAAATAATTTTATACATTAAAGGTAATATACAAAATTATTATATTCATTATTAATTATTAGATGTGGGATAGGGAGAGATCATTTAAAATAGAACTTTTATTGAAGCAATTTTTCAATTTAATCAATATTATAAAATTCCTGGCATCGTAATTTTAGATTATGATTAATAATCTGAACGAGTGCAGAGAATATAGATTATTATATGTTGGAAACATAAAAATTATACCTATATTTAGCTACTACAATTGTGATTTTCAAAGGCACTCAGTTTTCTTATATATGGTGTCTTCAAGAAATATATAAGCCTTATACTTTAAAATTTATTCAACATTTGACGGTGTTTCGAGCTAGTTTGTTCATTCTTTTCATTCAGTCATCTACAACAATTAATAAACATAATAATATAATAAAAATTATATTTATTTCTATTTTTGGTTCCCTCATAAGAAGTGAAAGTTTCGATGAACAGCTGACAAACATTTCAGTAAGTTTCTTCATGCTGTTATTTATAAGTAAAAAGAAGTGAAGGTGATGGGGACTAAAAGAGACCTAATTTAAATATCCTGCTACAAATTGTTAGAGATATTTCATCTTCATTTAGTTTTAAATACACTTAGATTGTTTCAGGATTCCATCAAAAGCATGCTCAAAGTGGTTTTGAAATTAGTCACCATCTTGGAGTAGCGATTCAAAACTAATAATTTGAAGATAGTTTGTAAATAGATGTCATGAAAAAAATAAATAAAGAAATAAACTGAAATGGACCACTGCATTATTGTAGTCAAGTTTATTTTCAAAGTGGGATTAGTAAAAAAAAAAAAATGAACAACAATAATAATAAAAAATTGGAGTCAACTTACGAGAAGACAGTTTTATCTCATTAATATACATCAGGTTATGGAGAAAAATTATATACTTAAGACAGCCACAAACATTTTTAGACATGCCAGTAATAAACGAGACCATTAGATTTATTTATATATTATTGTGGATATTTTTAATTGTTTAATTATATGTATAAATACAAATTTAAATTTTCATATAGCCATAATCTATGTAATTAACTATTAATTAATACCATTTATGAAAATCGCACATGTTTCTGTATACATTATCACAGCCCCAATGATCCTTATATAGTATATTATGCACATCTTCAAGGATGCACCACCCCAAATTCTAATCTATCCACCAAGCTTAACTGCACTCCAGTATTTCTGTCTGTCATTGGTCCGATCTTAACGCTTTTTTCTCCTTAAGTTAATTATCAAATTATTTCATAGTTAATGTTTTACAGTTTTTTTATTTTTAATTATAACAAAAAAATGCTAAATTATTTCAAATAAGCAAAATTGGAAGTGCTAGGTGGAAGAAATTTTGAAAATTTGGCATTTAAGCACTGTAAGAATATTTCATTGAAGATAATACATGTATACCTCATATTAAAGGTCACTAAACGATTTTTAATCAAAATGATAGGAACCATTTATGAGAAAATTGGTGATATCAAGTGCCACTTCTGATAAGTCAATTTTTGCAAAAAAGTTATATTTCTGTTGAAAAATCAGATTTGAAATTTTTTGCATTCATAATACTTTACCCTACTATATATTTATAAATAGATAAGCAAAAATAAAAAGAATTAAAAGCCATTTAATGATTGGGCTATGTTTTCTTTATAGTTGCATAACAAACAAACTATAAATGACAATGATTCACCAAATGGTGAGCCACAAGGTAAAAGAGTAAGTGTTATTAGCAGTACATACATAAATCATCAGATTGCTCAACTCAGCGAGAATTTGATAATTTTTCACTGAAATCTATTTTTTCTACTACTATAAGTATTGAGGTAGAAATACAATAACAAAAGGTTAAAGTAAATTTAATTTACTTTTTCACAATCCTCTGGACTATTCACCCTGAACTTAGGTAAAAATTTCAGCTCACGGTAAAAGAAGTATTGCACTTACCGTGTTTTCTTTCATGACGGCACCAAAACAAATAACTTCTCCTTGATAAATCTTTTTAAAATAAAAACTGAATTTCTAAAAAGTTTGTAGTTAACAGGATAAAAGAGCTAACAGAAATATGAAGTATATTCTTTAGAAGCCTCAAATACTAAATACTTAAAAACTATTTATTTTTTTAAACAAAATATATCATTTTAATTTCTAGCTACATATTATTTAATAATAAATACAATAATGGACACTCACAATGAAACAAGTTAAGAAAACATTAAACCACCTGTTTTAATGAGGTACTGATGTAGTAGCAAGAATAGAAAATATATAACATATACAGCAATAACTTTATATGGCCTTAAAGGTGATATAGGATATAAAAATAAATGAATTACAAATAATAAAAAATCTGGTGCGGTGCATGCATTACACAACTTCCACTTACCACCCTATTTTTAACAGCAGAAAAAATGTTTTCATATGTAGAGGAGTAAAAACTACAGATGATATAACATACTCATTTGAAATAATTAATTATGATACGAAAAATTGTGACCATGTTCAAAATACATTGCTAAGGAAAATGTAGATTAAAGGAAATAAATGAATGTTAAAAAATACTTGCTAGCTACTAGATAAATAACTTTTTTTTTTTAATTAATAAGAAGTATAAGTGGGTTTTTAGTCAAAATTCTGAACTTTATCCAAAACATTAAAAAAAAAAGTTAATATTAGTAGATAGATAGACTCAACATATAACATGAAAGTCTTTTTGAAAATTATGTGTAAACAAAACTATTAAATTTATTCATCAATTATACTAACAATAAATAACAATAGACTAGCTGTATACGGATGTGAGGAGTTTAAATAAAGATTTTTTTTTTTTTATTAAACGTCTCTGCCGTTGATTATTAGGCCCTTCGGCTTAGTTTAAATAAAGAAGAATCAGGAGAAGTCGGGCACCCTCGGCTATTTCCACTTTCTATCCAGCAGTACTGACCCTGTTTAGTATTTCTCTTTTTTTCTCTCTCTCTCCCTTATTTCTCCTTTAATTAATCATTGAATTTACTCATAATTGGTGTTTATATGTTTTATATTAGTAGTCACAATGTGAAATGGTTAACTACTTTAAATGAACAACATTAAAGATACTTTAGATGAAGAAATTTTGAAAACTTGTTATTTAAGCCCTGTTATAGAACATAAATGAAGATAAGATCTACCTTAAACTAAAAACCATTTTATAAACCTTGATCTAATGAGTTTAATCAAAATCATTAAACCCGTTTTCGAGAAAATTGTAAAAATGTATAAAATTATTTATATAAAGTGCAACAACCGGTTAGCTGATTTTGACAAAAAAGTAGTAATATCCCAGGCATATAAAAACCTTAAATAAATAATATCAGTTTTGTAAGACTTATCATTTTGGGGCTAGCTGTTCACTCTCACACACATACAGATACCATTTTCAAGGACTTAGTTATTTAGAGTCAGGTGATCTCAAAACTCAAGATTTGAAAATTTTCATGATCACAATATTTTATCTTACTATATATTACATATGACCACCAAGGAAAGCCACACTGCCCGTGATCCCCCCCCCTCCCCGCGGTATGTGAGCCCTATCAGTCTACTGGAGGCAACTCACACCGACTGGGCGTAGGATTGATGACCCTACCCCGTACTTGGTTGTAGACTAATCAGAGGTTGGTACCAGACCTAGAACCCTCTTAAGAGGACGTGATGGCCAAGCATATTGGGGCATGGGTCGTAGTTCTGAATGTTATGGATTCTATTCCCACCTGGGTCAATAAATATTTACTTCTCGGTAGCTGTGGAAAATGAATCTTAACACTGCTACTCTGGTAATAAAATGGAACAACCTCAATGTATCAGTCAGATGTTCACAAAAAGGACCACAAAGTCCACTTGGTGAACTAGTTCTCCCCACCAGTAGCAGTAGCATTAACAAACATCTCTTATATCTCCATCCGAATATGGTGACCAGCTTTATAAAGGTACCATTGGGCTAGTACTGCCAACTACTTTGGTGGCAGTGACTGCAATTTATTATTTCAAACTGTTGCTACTTGTGCTTTTCACTGAAACTGCGACCATTTCCTCTCATGTTAAACATCCTAGTATAAAATATAGTAAAATAAAAATTTGAGACTTTAATTTAATGGTGATTATTTGTTATGCAAGACCAAAAATATATATACGATGGGCGAGTCTTAATCATATTTAATTAATTTACGCCATTCGTCCTGGTATTCTACTCGTAAGTTGAATAATAAGGCTAAGTTATTTCTGTACTATATAATATTAAACATATTAATGGCCATCTTTTACAAAGTGATAGTTTCTTATAATATTTTAAATTTAAAATATCAGCCTCACAATAAAAAATTCTGATGCGGTGCGCGCATCACACAACTTTCACTTACAACCCTCTTCTTGGCAGAAAAAGTATTTTCAGACAAAGGGGAAGTGAAAGTAAAAATTATAGACGCTATATTTATTTATATTTCATTGTGGGTATTTTTACTTGTATAAGTACACTTATATATACAAATTTTAATATTTATATCGATGAAATCTATACAATTAAATATTAAATAATAACAACAATAGGATTTAAAAAAGCCACATATGTATATTTATATAATATTGTCAGAGTCCTTATTATATTAAGCTCATGTTATGTATGGAAGCGGGTTCTAATCTTTGGGGCGAGTGTGAGTGCGCTCGTATTCCTTTGGTTCCTCAATTCAATTACAGCTATTCTCCGTTAAAATATCTTATTTTTCCTTTAGTTAATTATAAAATTCTTTCATATTTTATATTTAACTATCTTTTATATTAGAAATTAATGTGAAACGTTCAATTATTTCAATTAAATAAAAATTAAAGATAATTTAGGGGAAGCTAATATTGAAAATTAGCCATTTAAGCCCTGTTAGAGAATATCAATCTGAATAAAAACTACACTTTATTTAAAACTGCTTAATTTTATGTGATTAAATGATGAATTTAATCAAAATCGTTAGAGCCGTTTTCGAGAAAATCATAAAAATGTGTGTAGTCCATTATATAACAGTGCTACTTCCGGTTGGCTGATTTTGACGAAAAAGTTGCTGTAACATCCCTAGCATATAAAAACCTTAAATATGAAATTTAATTTTCATACGACTTTTCATTTTTAAGCTACACTGTTAACAGACACAGACAGACGATTTTGCAGGAATTGGTTATTTGGACTCAAGGGACCTCAAAACATGTTTATCCATTGAAAACTGAGATTAAAAAATTTTCACGATCGCAATACTTTCCTTTACTATATATTTCATATATAGGTAAGTGAAAGTAATAATATAACAAAAATATTATTATAAGAATTGAAGGTGTATCTCTAATTTAAAATTCATTACATGATATTACTATTATTAAGATAATTTCAATAATAAATATCATAAATTTGTAATGAAATCATAACAGAAGTTTTTTGTTATGACTATTACTATTATTAAGATCATTTCAATAATAGATTTCATAAATTTGTAATGAAATCATAACAGAAGTTTTATTGTTAGGTGATAGGTAAATCACCAACACTTTAATTAAAAAAGACATATTGATTTTTCAATGTTTGAATTTGGGTACTTATTTGAAATCAAAATTGTTTTCATTAATATATTTTAATTACTTATAGAATTCTATTGCTAATTAAATTAAAGGTATTATAAATATTTCAATTCCAGAAAACAATTTTCTGAAGTTATATTTAAATTTTTAAAAAATCATTTAATTTTGTTTGACATGATGGAAAAGAAGGAAATGAAATGTAGCAATGAGACAGTTATCATTAAAACTCTTCTTCAATAAGACAACATAACCAAGAACCATCCTACTGCCAACAGCTTCACTGTCTGGTACAAGCAGTGTGGAGATGACATCATACCTAGAATGCTGAGCAGTACCAAGGAAATATAGTCTGTTCTATTTCCTTAAAGTAGTGCACAACTTCCAGCAGTCACTGCTATGCACAGCAGTGGGCAGTACCAGAAAAATAATATTTTTTGAAGGCAGTTAAATGAAGGATATAATTTTTGTTATATTTAAAATAAACTCTATATTTTTAATGCATTACTTGTAAATGTTTAAGAAAATTTAGTTTGGTATAATCATGGGATATTCTTAAGATATATAATTCTGAAATTGATGTCAATTTTATAAATAAAAATATAACCATTAATTTAACATGCAATAAACTAAATTTAAGATAGGTAGAATTAAAACTGAATAATAAAAATAATCAAACCAGAAAATGCTCAAACGCTACTATCCTACCTTCTCTTAACTACATTTCCACTTAATAACAAAACCATGAAATATAAACAAAATAATTATAATCAAATGTTTTCAGATGAGAAATTTGATTAATTTCAGTAATCAACACTATTAAATGAAAAAATATATGTATATTTGAACTGACATTAAGATATAACATACTAAGTAAATACCCCAAAACTACTACTTGACATCTTTTTTTATTTTCTAATGATAGATAATAGCTATAAAATAATTAGAGTTTGCGTAAAAGATAAATTCTATTCATAATGAAAAACTGTCAGATAGTTTTCCTTAAATCCCAATGATTAAGAAGAATAAAATCAATCCTACCACTAAGTTTGTTCATGAGAATTCAATTAATCAAATTTCATGAAGTCATACCTAAATTTACTTAGTACATATGTTAATACTGGAGTAATAAGATATAGTCAAATACAAATCATAAAATAAGAGATTGAAGCAGAAGGACGATTATACTTCTCAAAACCGTTTTAAACAATGAAAAAATAAAATAAAATAAATATCTTTTACATTAAAAACTGACACAAACCTGGAGAGATGTTTTAGAATCTGATTTTTTATCAAAGAAACCATCTTATAGATGAAATGCGTGGTTCTTAAATTTGAAATGACGACAAATGCTTAAACATATCCCATTCAAATTTTAAATCTCACAGAACTTTTTTTATTTCCGCCAGGAGTCATTACTTAATAATTTCAACAACTACAGAAAGCACACGAACAAAACACTGTTATCTATCGTAAAATAACCTGCACCACTATATTCCCTTCTCCGATAATACTGGATTGACTGGTTATAAAGATGCCGGTTAAAGTTTTCGAACATGTGGTACTATCTGTTTTTAACTTAGGTTAACACGAGGTTTCAATTCAGTTTTTATTTCAATTCATTATTTTTATCTATAATCTTCTGTCTTCGTTTGTTACCAAAATGCCGTCGTCAAATCCGCTACCTCCTAAAGAAAATTCGCTTTTTAAACGTATATTGGTAAAAACGATATTTGTTTTTTCTTTACATATTATAATATAATCAATTTCAAATACACCCTTCTATTATTGTGTATGTTTACATATTCACCCTTTAGAACAAATATAAACCTATCTGCAATATAATACATATTTAGAATTGTGAAAATAACCCTCAATTAATTTACTAAAGTTATTTCTTAGTTTTGTTTATACTAAAGAGTTAGTTAATAAACTTATTTAGTTATTTGAATTTTATGTTTTCAAAGTTAGATATAAAATTACTTTTATTTACTGTGTTGGAAAACATTTTTTTACAGAAATGCTATGAACACAAACAGTACAAGAATGGACTGAAATTCGCTAAACAAATTCTGTCAAATCCAAAATTTTCTGAACATGGAGGTATGTTATTTATTTGATGATTAGAACTATAACTTCTGATTGTGTTGTGAATAGTTATGACTTAAATAGTTGTAGCATCAAAACAGTTTATGTTTTTCAAAGAAAATTTGGTGACATTTTGATTAATTAATTGATAACAGAAAAATATTTTAAGAAATGAGGAGTTCCTTTTCTTTAATTTTTTTGATTTTATGAATTACTACAATTGCTTTCATATGTAATTTATGATACCCTTTTGATTTAAATTGTTAATTTATTCTTTATTTAACTTGTGAACTCTAAAAATATTAAGTCATATAAAATTGTAAATTTAAGAATATTGTTCATGAGAAGGTAATAGTATCATGTTTGTATACTGATACTTCTGTTTTCTTACATTGTATTTTAACTAAGTTTTGATTAATTTTTTTTGTTTAGAAACACTTGCAATGAAAGGACTCACTCTCAACTGCCTGGGTCGTAAAGAAGAAGCTTATGAACATGTAAGAAGAGGACTGAGGAATGATTTAAAATCTCATGTGTGTTGGCATGTTTATGGACTGTTACAGAGATCGGACAAGAAATATGATGAAGCTATTAAATGTTACCGTAATGCTCTTAAGTGGGAGAAGGACAATATACAAATATTACGTGACCTTAGTTTATTGCAAATTCAAATGCGTGATCTTGAAGGGTATAGGGTAAGTTTATCATTATCTATTGTTGAATGTAATATGTTGGTTAGTTATATTTCAATAGTTAATATTTAATATTTATACAAGAATTTTAATAGTCCTACTTTGGTGTTTATTTTGATTTTTGCATTTATATTGATATTAACCTAATGATAATAATACTAAAACTTTATAAGTGTCCAACATAGTGACTGGGCCAAAATCACTGAATATTGACAACTATGAATGTAACATCCTTTCATTATATTGTGAATTCTGCTCATTTAAAAGAGACAAAAACATTAATGAATATTTTCAGTTGAAATAGGGGTCTTATCAAGGGAATCAATTCTCTTTCACTTTCAGATTTTTTTATAGGGAGTCATTGATCGGATCACATTAAAATACCTGTCTTGTTGGAGTGATTTTTATTAAGTAGTACCTTAATAGCTAGTGTAATAACAATTTTAAGACTAGCTAATAAACTAGAATACCTGATTTTGAGCTGGACAAATTTAAAATACTAATTCAATAATTGGAACAGACTCTTTGTTGTTAAGAACATCATTAAACATATTGCCTATCTACATGATACTGATGTAATGTTTTGGGTACTTGCTTGGAAAAAAAAAGATTAAATTTGAGCTGCAATATGATTCAAATAGTAAAGAACATATGTATGATTCAGAATGTATTTTTTAAGTAATTAAAAATAAGGTCATATATAGTTATGAACAGGGCCCAGATTTTTATTCAGTAAAAATCCACAGAACATGCCATATAATATCTGCAATAATGAAAAATAAAAAATGCAGTGAAAAATCTTTAAAAAATAAATAAAATGTCTAAAATATTTAATTACAGTAATGTGCCTAGAAAATGTTGGGAATAAATCGTTTTTTAAAATGAATAAAACTATCACACTTTTTTCAAACCAAAATAATTGAAACATAATGTGATAAATAAAAACAGAAAATAATATAATCTTTTAATAAATTATAAAAAATTAAACAAAAATAAATAATAATAGTAATAAAAATTAATACACAAAAAAACTGATTAAATGCTTGAAAAATTCATTATATGCTTGAGGGGCCATTTTTCACTCAAAAGTATTCGGTTCCATGGGCTCAGCTACGTCTACAAGGACACAGTTCTGTGGCCCACTCTCTTCTCTCAACTTGCCGTGTTAAAAGGGTTAATTGTTTATATACTACAAAACCATCTGGGTTGTAATTAATTTAATAATGATATGTTTCCTATGTTTTAGACTAATACCCATTATATGTTATTACATATTATTTGTTCCTAATATTTTGTATCAGAACTTTATTAAAGTTTATGATTTAATCTCATTTATATCTATTTATTTGTTGTAAAGGATACTAGGTATCAACTATTTATGTTGCGTCCAACTCAAAGAGCATCATGGATTGGCTTTGCGATGGCCTATCATTTATTAAAGGATTATGAAATGGCCCTGAAGATACTGGATTCATTTAGGAAAACATTAGTCACTGTAAGTAAAACATTTTTCTTGTCTTAATTTCACTAGTTTTATTTTTTACAATTTCTGTTTGAAATGATTAGATTCTATTTTAAGCTGATTTTATCCATATCTATACTTGTAGTATTGGTAATTTTTTTATGCTTGATTATTAATACCTAAACTCTGTAAAACTTTGTATACTAAGGGCATTTTCACACTGTCCAATAAATATCGGTACGTAATAACCAAGTCTTCCATGTCTTCAGTTCAAGTTTTCAACAGAAATACATGTTTTGGTGTCCTCTGAGTCTAGTCTAAGTCTCTAAGTCTCACAAAATATTCTTCATGTGTGTTTTTATGTGATCATCCTATCTCAGAAATGAAAAAAATCATTTGTAACTAAAATTACATTTTTAACATATGTATTATTGCAACTCTTTCTCTGAATGGTCTTGCCCTTATTGGAAGTGGCACTTTATACTAGGTGTGTTAATATGAAACCAGAATTTTTGTTTAGAAAATACACATTTATTGCATAAAAATATTAAAAAATATATATTTTAAAATATATTTTCCCCATTTCTGGCAATTTATGATTGCTATGCCAGAAAAATTGTTGCTCTTTTATGACAAACAAGTCTTCAGGCTATTTTTGTACAGTTTCATAAAAGTGGAGAGCTGTTGAGGAATTTTCATGGTCCATAAAATGGCCCATGGTTTTTTACTCTAATCTTTCAATTTTCAATCATGTATATTAAATACATTTAGTTATAAACTATACATTTTTAATATACGTGTCCCTTGACATATTGCTCGGGGAAAACTTTCATTAAATAGAGGAAAGTCAGGGAATTTTACTCTAACAGTCTTTTAGTCACCCTGTACTTGTCATATGTTGTTTTCTTTTTGTTATCATCTGCTGTCTGGACTTAGTACATCTTCAAATTCATTCTTTTACTTTGGATTTATTTGATATTAAGGAAAATAATTGGATTTGTATTACCACTGATATATAGGGAGTGTGTTTAGTTTTTGAAGATGCTGATCATAAATTTCCGAGTGATGCGGTTAATCGTTAATTTTATTTAAAAAATCTTAGGTAAAGCATCGTTTATCAAGACCCAAAATATGAATTTCTCATACAACGTTCATTCGCAAATGTGTTTTGAGATCCTATTAATATCGTTTAATCAAGTTATTTGCATTAATGAAATGTTAGGTAAAACGTCTTCCTCAAGTTCTGGTGATATATAAATTTATAATAATGCAACTTATAATCAAAGGAAACTAAAAAGTAAAATAAATCTATAGGTGATCATGTGATCTTAGAACCGTCATTATTTTCATAAAATTCACCTTTGGTAACATAATGAAGGGCCGAATAAGAATGTGAACCGAGATTTTAAAAGAAATGAATGGCAATAAAGCAAATTTTAAAATTTATTATATTTTAAAAACTGTGCCTTCTAAAACTTAAGAATGGACTCTCATATTGAAAAAAAGTAATAAAAATGTTGTAAAGTTATAGTAATAGTGCTTTATCTTGGAGTAATCTGAAAAGTTAAAATTAATCAATATTTTTCTTAGATAAGTTGTTCCCATAATCTCATCATGCACATTAGGTCTGGCCAATCCAATAATCATTTTACAGAGATTAGTGATGAATTTTTCTTAGATCCCTTTCCTTCCACATTCTCCCATTTAGTCAGAGGTAGTTCAAGACCTCGATGATTTTTAACATTAGAGAATAGTAGTTGGGATGTTTTTTACTTTCCTACCTATACTAGGTAAGGAAAGTATTGCGATCGGATCAAATTTCCGATATGTGGTTTTCGACGGATCTAAGCGTTTCAGAGCCTCACTGAGTCCGAAAAACACGTTTTTAGCTGTTTGTCTGTGCCAAGATTTTCTCGGGAACTAGTGGATCGATTTTGTTGCTTCTTTTTTTATTTTGTAGGGTTTTTATTACTGATGCCTGTGACATAAATTGAGTGCTCAATGCGCAATAGCTGCTGCGCAATAAATGAAAAACATATTTTTCTATAGACTGTAGCGCGAAAATAGCTCAAACGATTTTTATGAAACTTTTATAATGTTCTAACAATTGTCCTTTCAATTTTCTTACATGGATAAAATTCAGGAAAAAAAAAATGTTTTGAGACCTAACTCGCTAAGTATATATTCTATGGTAAAATTTATAATATAACTTTTGAAAGGTAATTAAATTACCAACAAAACAAAAAAAAAATCTTTGGAATCGAACCAGTATTAGCGATGATACAGTGTATTCTATTTTCTACACATGTTTTAATTTATTACTTTCCTACCTATACTAGGTAAGGGAAGTATTGCGATCGGGTCAAATTTCCAATATGCGGTTTTTGACAGTCTATACGTTTCAGAGCCCGTTTAGCCTGTTTTTTGAAATTTAATGAAATTTCCTACAATAATAAAAGGCTTAGCGAACCCCCCACCAATGCCAACACCACCAATCGCTTATTACACACCTCCCTCCACCGTTCGCCGTCCAAACCCAGTCCCTTCAGATCGACTTTAACGCTATCTTCCCACCTTCGCTTCGGTCTACCTCTCGGACGTTAACCATTTGGTACAGCAAATATCAACCTTTTAGGAATTCTTTTGTTACTAAGCCCAACAATTTTACAAGCCCATTTGATTCGCCGTGATGTAATCACCTCAATTATATTAACTGGGTACAGCTCACGCAACTCGGTGTTGTACAACCTTCTGAACTCTCCGGTTAATTCATCTTTCTTCGGTCCGAATATTCTATGCAATACTTTATTTTCAAAAACCTTAAGATGTTTCTCATTCCTTAATGTAAGCGGCCACGTTTTGCATTCATAAAGAACTGTAGGTAGGGTAATGCTTTTATTAATTTTAGTCTTTAAATTCCTGGACAAGATGCGTAAGCTAAGTAGTTTTTTTACAGAAAAATAACAAGCATTTCCCTCCTTCAGCCTATCCTTAATCTCCTCTTCAATTTCGTTTTTTCTAGTTATCGTAAACCCTAGGTACTTAAACTTGTCTACCTGTTCAAACATATTACCAGCAATATCGCCATTTTTGTAGCTAACCATATTTATTTTGTCTTATCCGTGTTTATTTCGAGCCCTAGTTCTTTACCCGCTTTCATTAACGTTGTCTTATTTAATTTTATAGTTACGATTTCTTCGCTTAACAGGACCAGATCATCCGCATAGCCAAGCATGGATGTTGTCCCACCCAGATTCAACCCTTTTTCGTTACGCATTACCTCCCTAATGGCATGTTCTAATGCCAAATTGAATAGGACAGGGGAAAGAGAATCATTCTGTTTTAAACCCGAACGAACTTCAAACTTTTCGGATTAATTATTACCAATTCTAACTTTATTGAGTGTTTCCGTCTAACATATCCTGACTAGATTTACTAATTTTTTTGGAATCCCCTGCTCAATTAGAATATTACACAGTTTCTGGCGGTCTATAGAATCGTAAGCTTTTTTAAAATTGATATACAGCTGGTGAACAACACCGTTGTACTCCAATTTTTTCTCCAATATTTGCCGTAAAGAAAATATTTGATCAATAGTGTAACGATTCCGTCTAAATCCGCATTGGTAGTCACCAATAATTTCCTCGGCGTATTCTGTGATTCGACTTGTTAAGATTAAAGTGTATATTATATAACATACTGGAAAGAGTGAAATTCCTCGATAGTTATTACAATCCGTCCTCGGACCCTTTTTGTGAATCGGAATAAGAATAGATTCTTTCCATTCTTCAGATAATTTCTCATTCACCCAGATCTTTTTAACCAACAGATGTATTTTAGAAACTCCCAACTTCCCCGCATGCCTTAATTAGTTCACAAGAAATATTATCGGTTCCCGCTGCTTTATATGATTTTAATTTTCCGATAGATACTTCAACTTCCTCTTTACTCGGTTCTTCTATTAATGGTTCCGCACTCTGGTACTCAGAAGGAGGACACAGATCATAATTTCCTGAATTTAAAATACTGTCAAAGTGGCTCTTAAACTTATTTAATATGTCTACCGGATCAGTCAGAATATTGTTATTTTCATCCCTAATTCCAGACGTGACGGGCCCTAATCATTTACGTGATCTGTTTATACCTTTGTACATGTCTCTTACGTTATTTTTAATTCTATTAGTTTATATTTCAATTATTTTATTTTTAAGATACTCCCTTATTTATTTTTTTTTTTTGAGCAATTTTGTCGTTTCAATCTTTAAGGTGTTCCAGAGTCTTGGCTAGGATTATTTAGAGCTTTTAATTTAGCAGATTTTCTTTTTTCGCACATGTTTAAGCAATCTTCATCAAACCACAGTTTGTTATTCATATTTTCCTTTTTTCATAGACTCGAGTTAGCGACTATTACTAGCTCGTAGTGTCCCACAGGGATCTTCCCTCTCTCCAACTTTTTTCTCTTTCTACATCAACGACCTTTCTAACTCCATCCATCATTCACAATACCATCTTTATGCCAACAACCTTCAAATCTACCTTTCCTTTCATCCTACCGAAATGCTTTAGGCGATATGATGGTTACTGAAAGATATAGATAGTATTACCACTTGGACAGCGAGCAATGATTTAAAGTTTAATGTTGACAAGATCAAAGCCATTCTCATCGGTTCCAAGCATCTTATCAATTCCATCCCTTATTATCTCCTACTCTACATCAATGGACTTCCTATTCATTTAATTTAATTCAGTTAAAAAATCTTGGAGTTGTTTTTGATCAATTTCTCTCCTGGAACAATCACATTGCCCAAATTATCCAAAAATCTATTGCTAACTTAAAACAGTTCCTAAGATTCCATGATTCTTTGCTCTTAAAAACCTGTCAGCTCCTAGTTTCCTCTCTCATTTTCCTTCACATAGATTATGGCTGCCTTGTATACAGTGGACTGTCTGGTGGGCTTGATATTAGATCAAAGAGACTAATGAATTATTTTATTAGATTCATTTTTGGAGCCCCTAGGTGCTCCCACGTCTCCAGCTGGTACGCCGAGCTGAAGTTGCTCTATCCAGCTTCCCCACAGCAATATTTCCGAGGTGTATTCCTTTTCCTAACCTTTGCAACAAAAATACCTTCTTACCTTCTTGATCTGTTTATTCCCTGCTCCTCTATACATTCTTTCAACATGAGATCCCAGCCCACAAACCTGTTTTTTCCTTCTCATAGAACTGTTTCCTTTTAAAAATCTTTTCTCATATGATCTATTTTGTTTTGGAATTCCCTTCCTACTTCCGTACGCAAATCCTCCTCCTTAACCAATTTTAAACACCATTTATTTATCCATCTCCTCAGCAATCAATCTTCCGAATATATTTAAGAGTAATATTTTTATGTTTTTTAGAGCTGTCACCTCATTTTACTGTCTTCTTACAAATACCTATATGTTACCCATTTTTTATGTGTAAACACACTCTTATACATCTACCTATTATTAAATGTCAACTTGTGCCTTTCTTTATTTTAATATAAAGACTCAATAGCAATGTAATTTAATTAACAATAAGAAGATGATTAACTTTAATGCCAGACAATTGTCACTAAATTGTTCATTATAATTATTCTTAGGGGGCTGAATACTCCAGAATAAAATTTACTTTTCTTTCATTCATTCATTTCATGATGGTAGTCCATTGCTGGGATATGACCAAATCCTTACTTTTTAATCTTATAAAAAAATTTATTATGGAATATTAAAAATGTAATGACCAAACATTAGTTTAAAAAAACAGAAGGGTGGATGATTTTAATATTAATGGTTAAAAATGTGAACATTTAATTACAAATGAAATATGAATCCTTTTAGAGAATATAGTTTACATTAATTATAGTATGAGTAATTTATTTAAAACATGTTCATATAGTTAAAAGGTACAAAATTGTAATTTTAAATTTTAGTTTGTATAATTCTTATTTTTAGCTTCTTTCTTAACAACAGTGAAAAACTTTCTTTATGTTTTGTTGTATTTATTTTTTTGACTTCAGGGTACCTATGATTATGAACACAGTGAGTTATTATTATATCAAAATATGGTTATTCAAGAATCAGGAGACCTAAAAGAAGCTTTAAACCACTTAACTGAGTGCCAAACTCAGATATGTGATAGGTTGTCAGTTGAGGAAACATTTGGTAAGTTGTTAATTTTTTATGTTGATATACATTTTTATTTTTTTCAGTTTTACTTCTCTATGAATAACTTTCACTTATACTGTTTAAGTTTAGTAAGATACAATACAAAGACATATATTATATTAGTGTTAACAAACCATAGTATATTATATATTTTTATATGATATTATTGACTCAAAGTATGTTAGGGGCTACAAAATCATTGTATATTATTTACTATTATATATTATTGACTAAAAGCATATTAGGGGCTACCAACTATAACTGCATTTCAACAGTTGAAATACTGCAACTAAATTAAGTTATAAATTATTCAATATAAATTTATTAAACACTTGTCTGTCACAGGGTGGCGACCGACCTGGAAAACAGGGAAAACCTGGATAAGTCAGGGAATTTTCAAAACCGGGGAAAGTCAGGGAAAAATTGTTAAAGTCAGGGAATTTTTTTTAATTCGGAAATATTCTTTTTAAATTGGAATTAATACACTACACCGTGGATTAATATAACGACCTTCAGAGACCTGGTAAATTTTGTTGTTATAACGTATAGTTATTATAGACGACCGGACTGTCTTCATGTTTATATCGTTATATAACCTATATCTATCCACTTGTCACTATCAATAACGGCCCTGGCTGTTATATTGGAATTAAACAAGGGCAATGAATAAAATGTAAGCAAAATGGAGTTAAAGCAGTGCTTTTTAAAAAAGAAAAATATAACAATACTATTTACTATCTGTAAGTATACATCTATTAACTAAAGGAGAACGTTGGCAGGTTCCCCTAATTCATGCTTAGGTAGAGTCGTAATACGCGAATGAGCAAAATGTAGTTAGACCGCTCGGACTTTAAAACGCATTTTGGCCCTTAATTTTGTGATGATTGTTATGCATATCAACAGAATATATCAAAGCTATGTAATATGTTTATACATCCTAGTTCTGTTATAAAATAGTTAAATTAGCCAAAAATAAAGCATTGAAAAGATAAAAAGCCCTTAGTTTATGAACGACAGATACTACAAGGGAAATACGACTTCGATTCTCTGAGCTTTAACAGCCGTTTAATCGTCTTACATATTAATGGTCTGTATGAGGTACATATGAAACTTAATGCTCTTTCAAATTGATTATATTGAATTTCTTCGATAGATGCATAGATTATGAGTTTTGGGGGAAAATCGACGAAAATAGATTTTTCTTGTGAAAAATGCAAACAGTCAATATTCTCTTACTGCTCACCCGTTAGCCCTACATCAAAAAGCTATGCATAAATTGATAGTAAATTTAATGTTTTTTAACGTTGTATATAATAATAAATTCGATAAAATGCACAATTTCGGAGTCATGTCCAAAAAATCTAAAAAATGTGGTTGCTTATATCTCGATACACAATGGAACATTTCATTCGGGAACGTCAAATTCAGATCAGTATCCCAAAAAAAACATAAAAAACCGAAGAGAAACCGAAAATTTGAATTATTTTTTTAACCAACTACTATCGGACTGCCCTAAAGTGACAACTTTGACGTCGTCAGTCAAGGTGTATTCTTTTAGGAACATATTCTTTACGTCATATCAAATTTTCAGCTGTCAGTTTTTCCGTTAAATGGACCGTTAAATTTCGCCTCATTAATTTAAATTTTTGTATATAAAGCAAGTTTTCAACTGACTGAACGAAGTTGTGTGTTCAGATGAGGTTTATCTAGAATTTAAAATGAGTACTATCTTTAAGTACTTCCTTTAAATAAAATTGTTGGTAGCTCCTTGTCTAATAGTGGAATATTGAGAAGAACCGATTTTGTCGTGAGTAGATAGGTAGTCGTTGTTTTTTGAATATAACTGATTCAGCATGTTCTCGATTAGATTCGTAATTTTTTCAAATTGTAATATTATTAGACTCTTCAGTCTCCAGTCGGCAACATGTATAGACTTTTTCTTATATCTGGAACTTTTTGCTCTTCGTTATTCTTATTAAACTACTAAACAGAAATGTGAATTTAACACTAAGAATGGGAATGAAATTGGCCCTATAAATGTGATTCTTATATAGAGAACGAATGAAATAAAATATTTCCTCGATAAGTGAGATATAAACACGAAGGTTTTTAGGAGTTCAAATGTTGCTATGTACGATCATTTTTTCTAAAAACTCTAAGAAATCGAGTCAGTAAATCCAATCGTTATATCCATTCAAAATCACATTACAAAAACCATCTGAATCATCGAACATGGCGTTTTCGTCGTTAAAGCCGATACCTCGTTAAAACCGTTATATACGATATTGTAATTCAAAGACATTTTAATGTAAGCTGCAGTCTTGATTATTATAAGTCCTTCAATATTGTTATAAACTATAAAACCACATCTCTATTCCAACTTCGTAAAAATCCTATTTTAATAAATAGTTTTTTACGTTCTCCCATTAATTGATTGAGAGATAAATAAATTGAAACTACAAATAATTATTAATGTCACACATTAATTATTAATACTAAAAATACAATTGACAAATCAGGACCTCAGTCGAGATGGCAAAGTCTAAGGAAGTGATACGTCCAATGCAGGCTATGTATGATGCCAATGGGAGTCGTTTATGGGAGTTTTTTTTTAAATTCAGTTTTTAACTCTGCAGCAACCAGAAATTTAGAATTTAGAGATATCTAATTGTCGATTAGTAGTATTGTTGAAAACTTCGATTTTACAGATAGTTCAGGAACGGTTGGGCCTTCTGATTTTTAACTGTATGTTTAATATTGGAGAACGATAAATATCTTTATATTATTTGAATTATATTTTTACTTAAAGCATGTGACAACAGTCGTAGCAATTCATTGGCTGGCAAGCACCTGTTCGTCCTGGAGAAGATATCAAGCCGCTAGAATACAAAATGGCGGCCATGTGAAGACAGAAGAGACCTTACATAGGTTGCACGCGTATATATAGAGAGAGCTTATTGATATATAAAGCTACCAACACTTTCAATTTATATTATTTACAGTCTAAAGGCCTGAAATAAAAGTCAGTTACCCCATCCTAGTAGATTTCAAGTTGAAAAATTGAATTTATGATTAAAAAAATTTACTTTTATAGGTTTTTCGCTTATATCAGTAAAACTATGCGTTATATCTATAATAGTGTGATATGTGAAATCAAAGATGACAAAATTTGCAGTGGAAATGGATATATTAGTTTATTCGCTATATTCTATAGCTTCCATGATTTTCGCCCTCGTAATTCACTAATTTTGTAAAAAAATAATTTTTGCATCGCATTTTATCATTATTTGACTCGCCAACTCTTTATCTTTTCGTTATACGAAAAAGTCATGAGTAAGAAAGTTATTTAATATTAAATTTTCTTTAAGAATATATATTATTTTATAATCTTATCTTCAACCATTCAAAGGCTAGAGCAATTATAATTTAATTATTAAACTTCTAAATTATGCAGGAAAACTTCTCATCAGGCCTGTTGATATGGTCAATTTAAAAGGACAAAGCTTAGTTTGAAATATGACACCTTTTTTACCACGGGCTCCTGGGCTATTATGTATTATGAGAGCACTATACGAAGCTTTTCCTTGGTGGAAGGCGGGGATGTTTAAAACTCCCTCCCCGCCACCAGAACGCGAACTCATAATTAGTTTATCATGTGAACTTGAGTTTATAAGGTTGCTGGGAAACGTGTGTTTTACACAGCTTTAGTGTTTTGCACAATGAATGCCCCGAAAGGGGGTAATAGAAAGAAGTGGCGGAGACTCAAATTTATTTTTCTTCAAAATTTGCCATAGTTGAAGATAGATATCTCTCTAACTAAGTGAGGTAGCGAAAAAATGTATAGAATCAATCATATTGCAAATTTTATCAGCTTTCATTTTGTATAGAACGTCTTTGTTGATGTGATGGATAGTTTTCCTGATATAAGTGAAACCCCGAAAACAAATGACCTTCTAGGGGCCTCCTCTCCTCCCCCCTCACCACCTGCCTTACCACTTAGGAGTAGGGACTTTTAGTATTTTTATTTCTTTACTAGTCAAACAATCTACCAAAGTCAAAAATTTTTTTTAATCTAATCTTTCAATTTTCAATCATGTTTGATAAATTAAATAGTTATAAATTATATATATATAGTTATAGTTATAAATTAATTAGTTATAAACTATATATATTTAACATTTGTGTCTCTTGACATATTGGTCAGGGAAAACTTTCATTAAACAGGGAATTTTACTCTGCAAATTTGGTAGTCACCCTGTGTCAGTTTTGGAATTTTTAAAGCATTTATTAAGGAATATTTCCTTACTGAATATGTGAAGTATTCAAAAGATTTATTAATATCAATCACATATTATCGAAAGGGTACAACAACAAAACTTACTGCGTCTTACGATTTTACAATGTTATTATACTTTGAGCGGTTAAAAATTAAAAATTTATTATATTTACTTATTTTCATATCATATGAACATTTTCTCATTGACCTATACACCATGCAAATTATTCTTCGATAAGTCAACTAGTAAAATATATATTAAACAAAAACTTTTTTATATATTTGTTTAATAAAGTTATTAATCAAACTTATTTTGTTAGTTATTATTTTTATCTTTATGATGATTTATAAAGTTCTGATGTTTTCTTTTGATCGAGTCATGTCTGATTATCAAGAGCTATCACATTGTTACAAATAGTGCATTATGCCATTTTGATTAATTAACTTAAATAGTACTTACAATTAAATTAAACAACAGTAGGAATTGTGTTATGATGCACAAGGCAGCAAACAACATTTAATGCTCTAAGGATTAGTTGCCAACTACTATCCCATAGCTCATATGACTAACTTACTATTTTCTTTGTACTCTCTCTTAGGTTGAATTGGGAAAAAATCTGATTGACAATTTATTGTATGACTGCCACAATTACTAGTTTAAGAACTTAAACTATACATATACGTATACTTATATATATATATATATATATATATATATATATATAAAATATTAAACAGAGTTGAAATAGGGATAGTCACTGTGAGATAACAGTATAGAAGTGTTAGCAGGTAGCCCTCTCTGACTAGATTGATCGATATATATTGTTATATAAAAACAATAATCCGGTCTAGCAGTTGGCAGATAGGTGAGCACCTGGGACAGTGAAATGTACAAGCAGGATTGCTTTTTTTTTTTTGCCTTTTCTACTGTTATTGGTCGGGCAGATAGACCTTGTAGCAGTATGATGTTTGTCTAGGGAAGTTGTATTACCTGCCCCTCTCATTGAATATTGTAATATATCAGTTAATTAGTTAATTCTCAGTCCTCATGTATTGTAACTTTTTTTCAATAAACTATTCCCAGAGCTTAGGATCAGTTTCATATCTTCTTTTTTTTTTCCCCACATCTGTCTGACTAATTCTAAGGAAGTTATAGTACAAACTCTATGACTTCAATTTAATGGAGCCGATAGGGTTTTTCTTCTCTATTGCAGAACTCATTAGTCTACAAAAAGATAAGTGAAACTGGATTAAAGATGAAAAACCAGGATGACAAAAAATTACTAAATTACTACTATTGCTAATTTACAACCCTCAATTAAGTTTTGTTCTTTGTTGTAAGGAAACAAAACAATTAGGATATTATTTTATTTTTAGACTAATAAGAGATAAGGGGCCCACATTTTATGCGAATATAAGGAGCCACATTATAGTAAGGTTCCAGTGTAATGTCAGTGTGCAATAACCCGTTTATTAAAACAAAAGTTTAATAAATTCGAAAATGAACAAATATTTGGATCCTTTCAAGTTTAAACTTTCTGGTCCAAAATGTAGATTTTCTTTTTCTTTTTTTTTTTTACTGATAAAAAGTAATTGTTTCTATTAAGTATAATAAGCTAAAGTTTAGAAAGGCAATTAATGTTTTTAAAAAGTTAAGTTCTGTCATTGATTTTTAAGGTCCTTAAGTTGATGTAAAAACATTATTTTTTTAAAACATTATATTTCCAAAACTTTCATTTTATTTATTTAATAGTATCAAATTGTCGTAGGTTAAATTTTACTTAGTCAAACTTCAAATAAAATGTATCTTATCTGTAAATTTGTTCACTAGTTGCTAAACATTTTAGTTCATGACCAATATGGTTGGTTGTTATAAGTATATATATATATATATATATATAAATATGTAAGCTGTGGGCAACCGTATAAATAATATAAATAAATATATAAATAGGGTGGGGCAACCAGGGTAACCGCCCTGGGGTGCTGACCTGAAGGGGCACCGGCCGATCTTCAGGCGTGCTTGCTTAGAAATAAAAAAAAATACAAAACGTATTAAAATAATTAATTTTAGCCTATCAGTAAAGCAACTATATTAGAGAAATGTTGAATGAAATAGAATTCATGTTATATTTGAATTCTGTAATGACCTTTTTCTCTCAAGGCCTCCAAAATATCAGACTTTCTCACCCGATCGAAGGCCTTTGTAAGATCAACAAAGCACACCGACATTTCCTTTTCATTCTCCAATACTTTTTCGAAAACTTGTCTCATGGTAAAGATAAGATCCTGGGTGCTACGATTTTCCCAAAATCCGTATTGTTCCTCTTCAAGTAATCCTTTGATTCTTCCTCTTATTCTCTTTTCCAAGATCTTAGAGTAAATCTTACTTGGTATGCTCAACAGAGATATGCCTCGGTGGTTGTTACAATCTCTGTTATCTCCTTTCTTAAAGAAAATAAAATAGCTTAAAAAATAAATTTAATTTTTTTAACGGGGGTGGAGAGCGGTGTCATTGCTCATTGCTCACTGAATGTCTAAGGCCGGCACTGTATATAAGTGTATTTAATGACAAGGCATGAAAAAATATGTAAAATATTATAAGTAGTACATTTTTAAAAATCGTATGTGAAGATAATGGACTCAGTGATAATACATTAAAATAGTTGTTAAATTTGACCAACATATTTAAGTGAAAAAATATAATTAGACTAGTATATTTATGTAGCAGGAATTTAAAAATTATAATTATATCTTTTACTATATAATATTTGTTACACCAAGAATATTTCTAATGTCGTGAACCAATAAGGGCTTAAATTACAATTAAGATAAATATTATTTACATACATACTGGTTGCAGGAAATCTATCTGTCAAATGTAGCCTAAGAAAACTTGATACTATAAAAAGATTAGTATAAATAATCTTTTTATATCAATTCCAAGAGGCCTTAATATTCAATGAGAGAAATTAAAATTTTGTTTAAATGCATATTGTCTTTATAGATTATATTAAGTTTCAACCTTTATACAGGTTTAAAAATATATTAAGTATACAACATACATTTAGGATGGTATAACTATTAGTCTAATAGTGGTTAAATAGTTGACTGTCGTGAATAATGAGGAGAAGAATAGTTGGAGTGATCAGTCAAATAAGAAGGCAAAATAAATGATAATATTTATTTTGTCATTTGCCGACGTTTCGACCTGAAGTTCAGGCCATCATCAGGGCTGATTACGGAGATGTAAATCTACGTAGATTAGAATTCTGTAGATTTACATCTCCGTAATCAGCCCTGATGATGGCCTGGACTTCTGGTGGAAACGTCGGCAAATGACAAAATAAATATTATCATTTATTTTGCCTTCTTATTTGACTGATCACCCCAACTATTCTTCTCCTCATTATTAGTCTAATAGTTTACCAATAATTATAAGTCTCCTGTTGTCATATTTTATCATAAAATATCATTTACAAACCATTATTTTTAACTTGCATTGCCAGGAGTTGTCAACTTATTATTTTATTTTTCATTTCATTTATTATGTATCGTTTTATTGTGTTTTATAGCCTTGTTGTACTTGAATTTGAATAAATTTCAAGAAGCTGAAGCTATTATTCGTAATTTATTGAAAAGGAATCCTGAAAATACCCTATATTATCCATTACTCGAGAGGGCCTTGAGAGTTGAGAAAGATGAAGACAAATTCAATTTACTGATGGAACTTGTAAAAGCTGAACCCAAAGCACTAGCTCCTAGAAGATTATTGCTAAATTATGCTACAGGTTTTGTTTATTTGTTTTGTTTTTTAGCATATGATATATCAATAAATAATTTAAAAAGTGTTTTTGTTAAGTTTATTTAAATAAATTAGACTTATTTGAAAAATTAACTATCTATTCTTAAAAGGGTGTTCATAATTGTTTAGCTTTTCTTTGCATTTAAATTCTATTTCAATAATTAGATATGCTTGATAAGTGTGTATGGATTTTTTTTTTTTTTGTTTATTTTATTGTTATTATTTTAAGAGTATTAAAAAACCCTACATTAACCATAACTATCGTTCAAAACTGTGAATAATATGAAATAATAGACATAAAGAAATGTGGGGACAAAAAATAAAAAAAGAAAAGCAAAACTAAATAAATATGTATATAAAATTAGAAGACTAAAAATAGAGACTTACAGGTGTGTTCAGCTAGGAGTTTCACTTAGAACTGGAAAATCAGTGTAAATGTAGGCATTAGGGAAATTTCCTGACCTGTTTGGGTTACAAGGGAAAAAAAATACAGTATCTAAAATTTGAACATATGGATGGATACAAGGGAAAATACTATTTCTATGAAATAATAAATTATAAATATATACACATACATATAAAATATAATTAAGAAATTATAGATAAGAGTACAATGTGAATAAAAACGAAAATGGAAGAAGTAAAACGTCCATAGAAGTAAAATATAAATATATAATTTCAATATAAATATAATATAATATAATTATATAATATAAATTCAAAACTCTATAAAAAAGCTCCTTATTCTTTGTTAACACTTCATTGAATGGTGTCATTGCCATATGAAAGTCAAGCTTGTTCCTATTCTGAGCATTTTGCTTATATGTGTTGCATTGTCTGCAACAGTACTCCAGCTCTCCTCTTAAGCCATCAACAAATCTATCCCTAACATGTATGTTTTTCTGTCAAAGAATACTAGACAGCTCATTCTTCTAATTAATTAATAAAACTAGGGCAAAAATATACTGCTTTACCCACAGGGGTTTAAGGTGGGCATGATGATTCATAATCTCACTTGAGTAGGCTCAGTGAGCCCTATAGCAACTAGTATGCAGTTACCTAAATCATTAGTCCAACTTTCCATTTTTCCAGGCTCTTATGTATTAACTTGTCAAGAATCAAGATTGTGGGTCTATCTTTTAAATATAATGCCTTCCAGTGTCTTTGAGATCTTCCTATGGAAAACTTATTCTCTTCTATAGCAAAAGTTGGACAATGAATATTCAGCTTCCTTCATATTTTTCATTATATCCATTTGCGATTATCGATCTGGTCATTTGTCTGTGATAATTCACACTGCTTTTAAGGATTCAGTACGGAATACTCGTGGTTAAAGTGAGAAAAATTGCTGGGAACATAATAATCTGTGGGCCAGACCCCTCTACCGTGCACCTCCCCCCCCCCTCCCCACATCCATATAAGTTGCATATTGTCGTGTTCCTTGTAACTATTTACTACAAAAAAGCCAATGTTCTCACAAAAAAAAAGTGAAGAAACTGCCCCAAAATGGTGTCCAAAAATGGCCAACTGGCGACTTTGACTTTAGTTAGCTTTTTGTTCACTGAGAATCAGCATTTGGCTTCATAGTAGGTCTTTTATTAAAGCTAGATAGTCAGACAATAAGAAAACATGAAAAAATATTAAAAAATAATTAGCTTAAGCAATAAAAAACACCAGTAAAGTCAATTTTTTCGACAAAAATATTTTCATGTTGGAAATCAAGCGTCGTTTGTAATTAAATGGCCAACAATAACGCAAAACATGCTGAAATAAAACATCTGGGGAATATATTTTTCTTTCTAAAACACTTTTTAAAATATTTGAAGCAGTTCCGTAGAAAATGCACTTAAGCAGCAGAAAAGCGTTATTGGCGTAGGTGCCTACAGGCCTCTATCACATCATTCAGTACTCATAAATGGCTTCGTTATAATGCTATAATAACGTTTTTGTTTTTGGTACATTATATTGATTGTATTAACAAACAAATATTGCAATATTAATTTAATTGTCAAAAAAAATTGAAAAATTTTGTTTTAAATTTATTATTTAATTTTTTTTTTTAATTTAATTTTTTTTATTCTATACAGAGGTCGTTTTAAGAAGGCCTCTATGGTAAAAATTCTATAATTATAATAATAAAACTTAATTCAAAAATACTTTGCTGAATGACTTGAATTTGTTTTTTCAACGTTTGCAATTAAACACTTTGTTTTGTATATTTACTGCTTCGTAGAGGTAATTTAAATTGTATATAATTTTCCGGAAATGATTCATATTAATACCTGCTTTATAAACTAAAATAATATATACCTAATCTGAACTATGTATAATGAATAGTTAATGGGTTATTTAGTAAAACTCATATCACAAATAAAAAGATTAATTTTTATTTATTTATTTTGTTCGGAAGTTGGACCATATCATAAATACTAAATTTTAATATTGAATGCATTATTCTCTCTGCACAAAGAAAGATGGAAAGGACGTAGCTATAAGTTCTTCTAGGTGACCGGAACTGATTGTTAGTATTTCGTCTCAAAATGAGGGAACTTGGATTGAACCCAAAAATTGGAAAGAATACATTGAGCAAACAAGAAAGGTAGTGCTAAAATCTCGGAAAAGAAAACAAGGATCAGTATCCATTATATGACTAAACCAGTATATAGTAGATAGATGAACAAAATATTTCAAGATGCTGCTAAAAGGGAGTCAAATGTTCAACTCCTCATATTGTAATCATAGTCAACCATCTCTACATCATTAATTCCTTAAACATTGAAAATATCAGTCCTTTTCTCGATTCCCTATACATTTCCTTAGAACCCATTTTTTTCCATTCCTCCATCAATGACATAGTAGAATGTGTTTCCTCTAAGCTCCTTGATTTCCTTAATCATTATGCACCTCTTAAAAGCCCAAAATTTTTATGTCCTCCCCTTTTCCTGGGTTAATTCAGTAATAAGAGAGCTTATGAGAAGAAGAGAGACTGCCAGAAGGCGATACAGATGTACTCGTCTGGTCCAACATTATACTATCTTCAAATCTCTATGAAACCTCACACTAATATCCTTATGCCGCACCAAAGCCCAATACTTTTACAATGTATTATTCCAAGCACCTAATTCTAAATCCAAATGAACAATCCTCTGAAACCTCTCTGTCACTATCTCCAAAACTTTCACACTTTATCCATTAGATCCAAACGAGCTAAATTTCTTTTCTCATTCCTATAAATTCCTTCAATCTCCCTTCCGCATTTCCATCTGACCTCTCACATTTTCCACCACTGAAATACTCTTTTATCCTGATAAGTTTCATTTTCTTGATATTTCTCCTACTAACCTATTATCTGCCATCCTTAAATCCAAAACCAACAATTATGGACCTGACCAAATACCTGTTAAAATCATTATATTCTATCTTCTAGCCTTATTTCCCCCATTTTTGCACATATACAATTTCTCTCTCCAAAATTCCATTTTTCCCGAAGCTTGGAAAAGACGCATTGTCTGCCCATTGAATAAAGTTCCTTCTCCTTCCTCAGCTTCTGACTTCAGACCCATCTCCATTTTATCCAAGCCACGGAAATGACAGTTCACTCTCTGTTTAACAACTTTCTTGAGCAAAACCGTCTTCTCAATCCGGTTTCCATTTCCATTATTCTCCCCTATCTGCCTTGCTAAAGGTTACCCAAGTCCTCCAATTCTCCATAGATAAGAAATCTCTATCCTCATCCTTTTTGACTTTTCTTTGACTAAAAGCCTTTGATTCAACCATAAGATCCTCCTTTCCAAACTCCGCAGTCTGCCTATATCAAATAGTGTTCTAGAATGGTTCCACTCCTTATTCCACCGCTCACAGATAGTTGTCAGTACTAATAAATCTCCATCGTCGCCCCTCCTATCAACATATGGTGTTCTTCAGGGTTCCTCACTCTCTCTGACCATTTTCTCTATTTATATTAGTGATCTTCCTGACTCCATTAACAACTCTTGAGATGCCTGAGGCTTGATATAATACAAATATATTAAAGAAATACAACTACATAAAAAAAATAAGAAGAAGAAAAATACAATTATATACAAAAAATACTAAGAAAATACAATTATACTCCTACAATACAATTATACAGATGGTCAGGCATCTCAAAAGGTTGGATCAATATGTAAATTTGAAAATTGTCTGCATACAAGTGATAGCGGGAGTGATGTATGGAGCCCTGAGGAACACCTTGTGATAATTGAAGGGATGAGGAAGGGGATTGGTTAGGAATAACAACTGTCTGGGAGCGATTGGATGAAAAGAAGAGGAACTGTTGTAGAGGTAGGTCTATTTGATATTGACAGGCTTTGGAGTTTAGAAAGAAGGATATTATTAATGAGAGAATCAAAGGCCTTTAAAATGTCGAAAAGGACTAAGATAGAGATTTTCTGTTTATCCATGGATGATTGGAGGTCTTGGGTAATCTTTAACAAGGCAGATTGGGTGGAGTATTGGGAATTAAATCAGATTGTAGAGGATTGAGAAAACGATTTTGCTCGAGAAAGTTATTCAACTGAGGGTGAACAAATCTTTCTAGAGGCTTGGATAAAATGAAAATGAGTCTGAACTCAGAAGCTGATGAAGCAGCAGGAACTTTGTTCAATGGACAGATGATTACTTTTTTTCAGGCTTTAGGAAAAATGGAATTTTGGTGGGGAAAATTGTAGTTATGTAAAAATATAGGAAGTAAGATGGGAGGCAGAGTTCGATGATTTTCATAGGTGTTTGGTCATGACCATACCAATGACTATGGTCCTGATCAAAGAAAGTGAAACTTATTTGGATCAAAGGTTACAGTGATAAAGGGAAAAAGTGAAAGGTCAGATGGTCAGCAAAGAAGGAATTTAGTTTGTTCAGATCTCTTGGATAAAGTGTGAAAGTTTTGGAGCTAAATGACAGAGAGGTTTCAGAGGATTGTTAATTTGGATTTAGGATTAGGTGCTTGGGATAATTCATTGTTAAGGAATTGCGCTTTGATGCAGTGTAAGGATATTTTTGTGAGCTTTTAAGGTAGTATAATGTGGGGGCAGTCGTGGTGTACCTCTATATCATCTTCTGCCAGCATCTCTTCTTCTCATAAGCTCTCTTAATTCTGAATTTATACAGGGAGCAGGGATGACGTCTAAAAATACATGTTTTAAAAGGTGTATGATGATTAAGGAGGTTAGAGGAAAGACAATCTACCATGTCATCGATGGAGGAATGGGATAGAGAATCGAGAAAAGGACTAATATGTTTAATGTTTAAGGAATTAAGATCTCTCCAGAAAATTGGATATAAGAGTAGGAGTAAAGACGTATGAGATTTCAATTAGATCGTGAGATGAAATGAAGGAAACAGGAGTTTGCAAGGAGGATAATAGGTTTAATGGGGAACCAATGATAAATAAGTTTAACCAGGTGTCAGTGGACTGGCTATGATGGGTGGGTGGAAAGGGTACAATAAATAGGTCTAGGGAGAAAAACAGGTAATAAGATAAGTCCTGTCCGGAGAGTCTGAAAGGATGTTGTTGTTGATATCACCTGCAATAATGACATTTTTAAGGAGAGATATGTATGTAAGGAGGGAGGGATCAAATTGGACACGAGGAGGATGATAAATAAGGATGTAGAATAGATAAAACTTCATCATGCCGAAAGAGGGTGTAGTCGGGTAAGGAAAGAGATGATGAGGGGATATCAGGTTTGAGCCAAGTTTCAGATACGGCATTGATATGATAGCAATTATGAAAATAATGAAGGAATTTGTTATAATATGCTGGAAGGGATTGGGAGGATATTAAGTTATTAGTCATGAAAAAATTAAATAAAGAACAGTGGGGTAGGACAGAACGGGGTTGAAATTGCAGGAGGGGTTACACTTTTAGACACCGTATATTGCAAAATAAAGAAAATAGAAAAATAAATGTAAATTTTAACTAGTCATTGTAAGCAGGAGTAAACATAAAACGAAATATGATTTAATTCAATATAAATTAAATAGCTTCTACATTTCAAAATAATAGTAAAAAAGCAAAATAAACATCTGTACGAGTATAAAAAGTAAAGAAAAATAAATAAATAAATAAAGAACTCTCAAAACGCATCTATTAGATTATATACTCTTAAACATACTTTCAGAAATTGTGATAAAAAGTAAACATAAGTTTCTAGAAATTATTTTATACTTTTTAGTTTAATCACTATATTGTTTATAGGAGAAAAATTTATTTTTGAAATTGACAAATACTTAAAGAAGGGTCTGAGAAAAGGAATACCCCCTCTCTTTGTGGATATTAGAGGATTATATAAAGACAAACACAAAACCAATATAATAGAGAATCTCGTTCTTGGATATGCAAGATGTCTTAAAACGTTTGGAACCTTTGGTTCAAAAGGTTGTGTATTTTCAATTATTTATTTTTATTTGTAATTAATTGGTTCTAATATGTTATTATATATGTATATATTTATGGATAAATAGAATTGACAGTCTTGTTTGTTTGTAGGAAACTTAGAACATAAAGAACCTCCATCTGCATTATTGTGGACCTATTATTTCCTTGCTCAACATTATGATCACTTTAGAAAACTTGATAAAGCTCTTGAATGTATCAATGAGGCCATAGATCATACACCAACATTGATAGAGTTGTTTATTACTAAAGCTAGAATATATAAGGTTTGTATTTGCTTTATGTACTTACAGATTTGGTATAATGGTTTTATGAAATTTGGTTCAAATGTTCCTTTCTAGCTGTGTCACTATCCTCTGGGATTCTTTTACCTTTTTATCCTTGATGCTTTCTTTTTTTTAATCCGCATTCAAAATCCTTCTATTCCAACATCTCACAGCCCAGGCAGAGACTCAAGTGATTTCATTCATGTCGACAGAATACTATTTTTAAAAAAATAGTATATATATATATATTGTAATTTTTCTATAAAAAATTAAAAGTAATATATAAAGATATTTTGATTGTGTTTTAGTTAATTTTTGGGAGTGGAGTAGCTCAGTGAGTTAGGCACTGGGCTACCAAGCTCAAGGTCCCGGGTTCGAATCCGGCTAATGTGAAGTAATTTTTCATCAGCCTTGGATCAACCATGGGTTGATAGGGGACTCTGCCTCTACCTCTACTAAATAGGGGGACTCTCCTCGGACACTCACAGGCTCTGTAAAATAGGTACTCTTAGTCAAATAATCAATTAAGGGGGAAAACTTGGCTGTTGAGTGTGATTCTGGCCCGATCACCTCCTTGAACAATTGTTGGCCTTGAAACATTAGTTCCTAACAAAGTACTGAACCCAATACTCCACCCAATCTGCCTTATTAAAGATTACCCGAGACCTCCAATCATCCATAGACAAACAGAAAATCTCCACCCTAGTCCTTTTCGACTTTTCAAAAGCCTTCGACTCCATCAATCATAATATCCTCATTTACAAACTCCAAAGCCTACCTATATCGAATAGAGTTCTAAAATGGTTCCTCTATTAGCGACCTTCCCGACTCCATTAGTCATTTCCACTTATATGCAGACGATCTACAAATTTACTTATCGTTCCAACCATCTGAGACACCTGAGGCTATCCAAAAACTACAAGAGGATATTTACTGTATCCATAGGTGGGTGGAAAAAAAAAAAAAAACTAAAGTTAACTAAAATAAACTAAAAATAAAACCAAGGCAATCCTAATCGGCTCCAAGCACCTCATCTGTTTCCTTTCTTTCTCCCCTTTGCTTTACCTAAATAACCGTCCCATCCATTTCTTTCCGACTGTCAAAAACCTTGGAGTGATCTTTGATCAGAACCTCTCTTGGAACAACCATATTTCCCAGATTACCCGTAAATCCATAACTATCCTTAAACAATTCCTTCGATTCCGTGATTCCATTCCAAAAAAAACCAGACAGTTCCTAGTAACATCCCTTGTCTTCCCCCACTTCGACTACGGTTGCCTAGTGTATGGAGGGCTGTCCACAGAACTGAAGGCGAGACTGAAGAAAATTATGAATTGCTTCATAAAATTCATATTTTGGATTCCCAAGCGTTCTCATATTTATTGTTGGTACACCGAGTTGAAGTGGCTATATCCTACTTCCCGACGGCAATTCGTACTTGGTGTTTTCCTTTTTCAAGTTCTCAGAAGCAAAAACCCTCCCTACATCCTAGAACTCCCTTATTTTACGCTTCTCTATCCACTCTCTCAATACCAGATCTCAACCTATAGATTCATATATCCCCTCCCATAAAACCACTTCCTTCAGTAAATCCTTCGTCATTCATGCTATCTCCTTATGGAACTCCTTACCCATCTCCATACGTCAAACCACGTCCATAAACTCCTTCAAATAATTCCTATTCCACCACCTACTACAAATTCAAACTTCCGCAAGCTTGTAAAAATTTCTGGGTTATATAATTACGTTGACCACCTAATAATATAATTAGGTTAATTAATTGATAGAAGCCATTTTATTTTTATTTATTAATTTTTTTATATCAGTATTTTATTGTATATATCTGTGTTTATCGTTATTATGTTATGTAGATTTTTATTTATTTTTTTTAATATATATTTGTATTTTTCTTAGTAACTTTGTGTGTGTGTATATATATATATATATATATATATATATATATATATATATATATATATATATATATATATATATATATATATATATATATATATATATGTGTGTGTGTGTGTGTGTGTGTGTGTGTATGCTTACAATTTCCTAGGTATTTTTTGTATATATTTGTGTAATACTTACATGCCAGACTAAGGTACATATTTTGTAAACTCTATTATTCTAAGAGGACTTCAGTCCCAGAATAAAATTATTTTTCATTCATTCAATTTTCATCATACCACCATGAATTTTGCAGAAAATGTTCTAGACAAACAGATGCGTTCTTCAAGAAAAATGCATTCTATAACATATTTAATAAATGGTGAAATAATTGTCTGCTAAAATTTGTTCTGCATAAATATTTTGAGAAAAAAAAAAAAAAATTTTAATGTATAAGTTTTAAGGTAAAAGGCGCTTCAGTTACCTAAGTATTTATTTTAAATTATTAACATTATTTAACTTGGAAGTATGTACTAATAGCATCTTTAATGAAATATTTTTTAGCCATTGCATCACTTTCGAAAACATCTTTTTCAGATTATTAAAAGTTTTTAAACATCATAGGCTAGTGAAATTGACCTGATTTTAAAGCCGTAAAGTTTTCCTTAAAGAAGAATCTCTTTTGAAGAAGGTATATGCTCTGTAAATCAAGCCAAAATAATCCAAGATATACATTATTCTCTCGATCCGTACCAGAGTGAGTTTAGTAAAGGAAGATTCACCTCTGACCAAACGTTCTGTGTGCGAACTATTCTTGAAAGAGGCCAGAAGTGCAAAACCAAAATTCACCGTCTTTTCATTGATTTTAAAGTAGCATATGACAGCATAATACGTGAAGAACTGTATGGTACCCTCAGAGCATTTAACATACCTGAGAAAATCATATGTTTGATAATGCTTACTATGAAGAATATGCAATGTATGGTTAGAGTAAATGGCAACATTTCAGAAGAATGTCTTGCAGATAAAGGACTCCAACAAGGGGTTGTTTAACCTAGCACTTGAGAAGTCGGAAGAGATGCTGGTTCATGCGAACGACAAGGAAATATTTTTACCAGGCTTGTCCAACTGTTGGCCTATGCTGATGATATAGACATTTTGGTATGTTCCCTGCAGGCCGTAACTAATGCTTTTCTGGCAGTGACAGGTCCTGCCAGCAGACTTGGACTGGAAGTTAATCAGACCAAAAAAAAAAAATATATGGTAACAGAAGGAATTCCCATTCCAGACTAGACAGTCACTGTTGGGCTTTATAAATTTGAGGTCTCGGGGTTTACTCATCTAGAATCTATGATCACTCAGGATAATAACCCCAATATTGAGATAAGAAGAAGGATCATAGAAGCTAACAAAGCTACTTTGAACTAAGCAGGCGGATACTTTCCAGACAGACCATGTTCCACCTCTATAAAACATTGACTCTTACTTCTTTATGGATCAGAGTGCTGGACAACATCGAATGCCACTAAAAAGGAACTTCATGAATGAACAAATGAAATTATATGTTTTATTATTCTGGGACTGTTGTTCCTTTAGAACAATGTATTGTTTATGATCAGTCTGACTGGAATGTTATCGGGACCATAATCGTTGGTATGGGACTTTTGAATAGAGTTTAGGAGATCATGAGGGGTAATGTGGGGAAAAAAAGAAGTGATCAGGATTAAACGAGGAAAACATGATGCTAGGCGGACTGGACGCAGAGATGTGGTTGCGAAAGGGCAGGAGATTATCACCAGAAACGGAAATGGACTGGGACTGAGGTGTATTACCAATGGTCAGTTTTCTGAGAATAGCCCATATGACCTTGGTATTAAGGGAGTTAGATAAGGAATGATAGTAGTAACGGGATTCAGCACGGCTTACTGTTGATTGAGTGCTGTGTCGAAGCTGTTTGAAGGAGGGAAAAAGGAAATCGAGTTTGTTTAAACCGTCATCTTGCAGTATCTCTTTCTCTCATACACTCTCTTAAAGCAGGAGTAAGCTAAGGAGCGGGAGGATGTCGGATGGTTTTTGTGATAACAGCAGTATGATGGTCGAGGATAGAGTAAAGATGAGTGGTAGAGATGGGCAGTACTCGATTACTTTCATGATTTGAGTAATTTTATTAGGAAAAAGTATCGAGTAGTTTTTGTACTCGGCCTGACAGCGGCGAGTACTGAGAGTACTCACGCAGCGTCAATCATGATTTAGTTAAGTACAGAAAATACTCGCGCTGTTATATCGAATTACAGAAAGTACTCAGCCCAATTCCTACAAAGAGTACTTTTTATTTTTCAACTACTCCATCATTATTATAAAGAGTAAAAATGTTTTCTTTTATTTCCTTCAATAATAGTGGCCATATTCGACCTGACCAACCCCGAGCCCCCATTAATCGATATTAGATATTATCGATTATTATATTATTAATTATTATCGATATTATACTAACCATCATGTCTTGGGGAGCTCTTTTTATAAAAATATACTGTCGGATTTTAGATAGTGCCCCTGGGCATCGAATTTTCATAACTTTTCCGATTAAATCGATATCAGGGTCGACTATTATGTTTTGGGGGGCGCTTTTTATGAAAATGATATCGAATGTGAGATTGGGCCCCCCGGGTCCCGACTATTTTTAACTTTTTCAATTAAATCGATATCTGGGTCGACTAGTATGTTTTGGGGGGCGCTTTTTATGAAAATGATATCGAATTTGGAATGGACCCCCCGGGCCCCGACTTTTTTTAACTTTTTGAATTAAATCGATATCAGGGTCGACTATTATGTTCTGGGGGGCGCTTTTTATGAAAATGATATCGAATTTGAGATTAGGCCTCCCGGATCCCGACTTTTTTTAACTTTTTAGATTAAATCGATATCAGGGTCGACTTTTAGGTTTTAGGGGGTGCTTTTTATGAAAATGATATCGAATTTGAGATTGGGCCCCCCGGGCCCTGACTTTTTTTAACTTTTTGGATTAAATCGATATCAGGGTCGACTATTAGGTTTTAGGGGGTGCTTTTTATGAAAATGATAGAGAATTTGAGATTGGGCCCCCC